GGAGCCGTCCAGTGCCAATGGCCGGGGGCCACCACGTCTGCTAGCCCATTGCTCCATCCCCGGGCAGGACTGACCCGCCCTTCAGGCCAGCAGCCTGCTGCTCCCAGGATCTGACCTTTGGGGTCCCCAGTTGTGTCCACTGGTCCTCTTCCCCCACCTGCTGTCACAGCGTCGCCCCTTCTCAGCGGTTCCCGGTTTGGGCGAACGTGCCCCGTTTGCCCGCCTGTTAGTGTCACCCTGGGCTCTGGGGAAAGCCCAGGGCGCGAGTATTTCTTAGAGGTAGCATTGCACAGGTTTAGAGAATAGAGCCGCGAGTTCTCCTTTTTGCCTTAGGTCCCTCAATGTCCTTGATCTTTCGTGCAATAATGTAGATAAGGAATAAGAACACCACGTAGAACTTTTTTTATTTTTCCGGTTGGCCTGTTGATTTTCAGGGTGTGTGTGTGTGATAGTTCTTCCCTTGTGTTGCTGTTGTTGTTAGGGGGGCGGGGGCGGCAGTGCCTTTGCTGGCCGGGTTTGGGGTATTCTTCCCGTAGGAGAGGTTACAGCGTCACAGTGTTACCTCAGTTTCTGTCACTGTTACAAAAGCAAAGACAAAAATTAAAAAATGACAAAACCAACAAAATGGCTGTTTAAAAAAAAGCAAAAACTATCCATGGACGTGAAGGCCTTTTTTAAATAAAAGAAAAGAAAAGTGATTCCCTATTGTAACACTGCAGTGATGGCCCTGGGGCTGGCCCATTTGACGGGTCTTGGCCAGCACAAAAACCACCACGTGTGTTGGCTGCTCTCTGGAAGGGCGGGGGCTTGTGGTTTGAGCCCTGGTCCAAAAAGCGGGCTGTGGGGTTTGTTTTTTGCAGACACTGCTCTGGGGCTGGCTCAGGGAAGGGTGAAATGGCAGCCGCAAGCTTCTGAACCTCCCCCCCAGCGCTGCTGATGACCCCCCTGGGTCTCGCGGCGGCGGCACTCAGAGTGGGATGGACGTATGCGCTGCAGAGACCGGCCCCTTCCACGGCCGTGCGCAGGGCCAGGCTCCTCCGCTGCTCTGCACGGCCCCATGGAGTCGGAGCAGGTCGCCTGGGGCTGGCTTATCTGCTCAGTCATAGACTCATAGAAGAGCAGGGTTGGAAGAGTCATCGAGTCCAGCCCCCTGCCCAAAGCAGGACCAACCCCGACTCAATCAGCCCAGCCAGGGCTTGGTCAAGCCGGGACTTAAACACCCCCAGGGATGGAGATTCCAGCCCCTCCCTTGGGAACCCAGCCCAGCGCTTCCCACCCGCCTAGGGAAATCGTTTTTCCTCATGTCCAACCTAGACCTCCCCCACCGCAACTTGAGCCCTTTGCTCCTGGGTCTGCCCCCACTGAGACCAGCCTCTCGCCAGCCTCCTTGGAACCCTCCTCCAAGGAGTTGAAGGCTGCTACCAAATTGCCCTTTACTCTTCTTCAGCCTGGGAGCCCAGTTCCCTCAGCCTCGCCGTACAAGTCGTGCTCCAGCCCCGAATCATTTTTGTTCTCCTGCGCTGGACTCTCCAAGTCGGACCAGCCAGCTCCCTGGAGCAATCTGGTCAGGCCCCCAGTCCAGCCCCGAACATCCCACGAAGTGCTTGCCCTTTGGCTCCCTTGCAGCCCTAGTCCAGCAGAGCAGCGCCGTGGCCCATCTAGCCCTGCGTCCTGGCTGCCTACGTTCCAGATGCCCTGACGCCCGCTGTCCGGCCCACAGTGCACCTTGCCGTGCAGTCCTAGCGCTCCATGGGAAACGCTGCCTGACCCAGCTGTTGCCCTAGCCAGCGTGTGGGGCGGGAGAAGGCTGGGAGCACAGGCCATCGCTCCTGATGAAGGGGTTTGGCCCGTGGCCCATCTAGCCCTGCGTCCTGGCTGCCTACGTTCCAGATGCCCTGACGCCCGCTGTCCGGCCCACAGTGCACCTTGCCGTGCAGTCCTAGCGCTCCATGGGAAACGCTGCCTGACCCAGCTGTTGCCCTAGCCAGCGTGTGGGGCGGGAGAAGGCTGGGAGCACAGGCCATCGCTCCTGATGAAGGGGTTTGGCCACATCTGCGCCCTGTATCCTGATTGCTGCAAATGTGCCGCCTGCTGCGGCCCTTGCTGCTGTGCGACAATCCAGGGGTCTTTGCTTCTTGCTTAGGCAAAGCCAAGGTGAAGAAAGGGTCTCACGCTCCTCCCGGTGGGCTAGCTCCACCTCCCGCCCCTTGGCATCGCTCCTACGAGCTTAGATGTTCTCCGAGCTGAAACACCTTTGGAGCAGACACCAGGCTGGGACGCTCCCCCTGATGAGCTGATATTTGTGGCCAGATAGCAATGGGGTGGATGGTTAAAAGGTGCCTCTAATCCAAAGCCACGAATTTTGGGGCTGTCCCTATGAAATTGGGATACCTAGTCTCCCTAGACTGGGAGTATCGCCTTGGTGGGCAGCTGCGTAGCCCTCCCTTTGGACCGTGCGCCTCGGACAGCTGAGGGACTTCGGACCAAGGGTCACGACGTGATTTGGTCGGAACCTGCTAAAGAAACCCCAGTGCTGAAACCCACAAACCTTCCCGGCCAATCAGCAACCCCCCTCCCACCCCCGCCAGGGACGTCAGTCGGCTGGGCTGTGACCATGTTCCTCGCAAAGCCAGCTGGAGTTTGGCCAGTGGCTTCCGCGGGCGCCGGATAAGGCCCACGGCTCACTGAGCAAGCCTGCAGGAGCCAGATGGCTCAGGAGGAGGGGAGCGTAGATGTCACAGGCTGGGCAGCCTCGCTCTCCCCCGCTGACTCATCCATCCAGCATGGCCCTCTCCTTCCTCAGCTGGTTCGGTTGCTCTCACACTAAGCATCCCTGCATCCCGTTGGTTGCGTTGGGACGTAGCCTTGTGAGCCGGCCGGGTGTCTGTGCCATTGTGGCACTGTGCCCTGCGGGAGGGGCCAGCTCAGAACGCCACCGATCAGACAGCGGTGGTGTATTTCTCCCGGCCCGCCCCGTCCTGCAAAAGGGAAAGCAAACGCTCACACGAGCACGTGGCTGTAACTACGCGGCGTTCTTCGACCTGGGGAGCACGAGGGTTTTAAATGTGTCCTTTAATTCTGCTCTAAAATAAAGCCAAGGGGATAACGCCCCAACAATCCAGCCCAGGGAGTGTTTGGCGTTCCGGCTGGGCGGATTAGACACATGGGCCCTTCCCCGCCACATTGGAAGGGACCGTTTTAACAGGTCCAATGGAAGGAGAGGGTCTATGACCAAGGTGTCCGCTCCACCGGGACCTCGTGCTCGCTGCTCCAGAGGCCAGGCTCAGCCAGCCCTTCCAGCGGGAGCACGCCCAGGCAGGACCATGCACCCCACAGCTGTGATGCAGGAAGCCCAGAAAGGTTTGCCAGGGCCTGGAAGTGCCACTCCATCGCCTGATTCCCAGGCCAGCCCTAGCACAAGCCCAGCCTTCCTCGCCCAGGAGGAGATGGTGACCCAGGGGGACGGCTCCTCTGTGCTTGTGTCTCTGCTTGCTGCACTCTCTTGCCTCTGTAGCCCTGTGCGCCGGGAGCAGGCAGCGGGCAGGCAAGCGTCCCCACTGGGCTCCAGCTTGGGCTCTTTGGCATCCCGCATCCCTGCTGACACGGCCAAGTAGCCGCAGGGCAGCATCAGAAGGACATGGAGGCCTGGACAGAGCCCAGCAGCCCACAGCCCCGAGGGAGCCACTGCCAGCTATTCCCACCCTGCGCGGGGATCCGAACCCGCAAGCCAGCTGTGGAAGGATCTGACCATGGTCAGCCCTCTCCCCCGCACATGGCACCGGTAACTGGTCCATGCCGGAACGGAGCAGTGAGGGGGGGCAGATGCAAGGCCGCATGGCCGCCAGGCGTTTATACTGCACCTGGGAGAATGGACTCATGGCAACATACCGTGCTGTGACATGCACTCACCCCGCCAGGCAGTGCGTGCCGCTCGCCATGAAGGCTATGCAGGGTTCTTCGCCCCGTGGGAACATCCCCGCAGCTGTTAGCTGCTGGCGCCAGGGTTCCGTACAGGTTCTGCTGTAGGATGAAAGAAGGTTTTGATCATGGGTCTCTGGTGCCTTGACCCCTTCCATTTCTATCCCCTTTCATATGCAACCGAGCCAGCCTGAGGCCGCGCATGAGCGAGCCAGGAGCCCTAGGCGGAGACGGGTTTCACATTTGCAATTCAAATCATGGTGCTAAGCAACTGTGCGGCCTGGCAAAGCTCGCTCGGTCTTTTCTCGGGCGTTAGAAAGTCCTGTGCACGCTGGGAGGCTGCACAATGCTTGAACCCTACCGGGTGACCACGAGACCCCCGGGAACGCACGACTGCAAGAGAAAGCAGAGCCCCGGGAGCGGAGGGGCGGGGAAAGGGGAGCGTGGCGTGGTGTCCTATGCCATGGGACGGCGAAAAGGAGGCTGTTGTGATCATCTGGCCCAGAGCTACTCAGCTTTGGAAGCCCCGGGGGCCACAAGGATACTCCCAGCACATGCCGAGGGCCGCAACTTAAGTGTGGTTGCATATACATGCAAATATATATGCAAATATATGCAAATAGCTTCTTTCACACTGATGGGCATGAATACAAAGATGAAGGCAAGACCACACAACACGCAGGCCCCATTTAAGTCAGTGCTGCTGATATTAATCAAATACAACATTGACCCGATTTTCACCCAGAGGACAGCACCTGGAATGAGCAATGACAGTCCAGGACTGTAACTACTAAAACACATAGGCTGTGTCTACATTGGCATGACCTTGTGCAAATACTCTTTAACGCAAGAGATCGTGCATTAAGGTATTTGCGCAAGAGAGTGTCTACACTGGCATGTGCTTTTGCGCAAGAGCATCCGTGCCAGTGTAGATGCTCGCTTGTGCAAGGAAGCTCCGATGACCATTTTAACCATCGGGCTTTCTTGCGCAAGAAATTCATGTTGCCCGTCTACGCTGGCCTCTTGTGCAAGAACAGTTGCACAAAAGGGCTTATTCCTGAGCGGGAGCATCATAATTCTTGCGCAAGAAGCCCTGATTTCACACATTAGAACGTCAGTGTTCTTGCACAAGAACTCCCCGTCAGTGTAGACAGGCAGCATGTTTTTGCGCATAAGTGGCCGCTTTGGTGCGAGATTGCGCCAATGTAGGCACAGCCATAGAATCACAGAACCATAGAGCTGGAAGAGACCTCAGGAGGTCATCAAGTCCAGCCCTCTGCCCAAGGCAGGGCCAATCCCAACTAGATCAACCCAGCCAGGGCTTTGTCAAGCTGAGACTTAAACACCTCTAGGGATGGAGACTCCACTACTTCTCTAGGGAACCCATCCCAGTGCTTCACCGCCCTCCTAGGGAAATAGCTTTTCCTAATATCCAACCTGGACCTCTCCCCCCACAACTTGAGCCCATTGCTCCGTGTTCTGCCATCTGTCACTACTGAGAACAGCCTCTCTCCATCCTCTTTGGAACCCCCCTTCAGGAAGTTGAAGGCTGCTATCAAATCCCCCCTCACTCTTCGCTTCTGCAGACTAAACAGACCCAACTCCCTCAGCCTCTCCTCATAGGTCGTGTGCTCCAGCCCCCTAATCATTTTGGTTGCCCTCCGCTGGACCCTCTCCAATG